TTACACCTTGTCTTTGTGTTAAGACGTTGTTGTAGTTCTGTATGTATGAGTTACACTTTGTCTTTATGTAAAGACGTTGTTGTAGTTCTGTATGTATGAGTTTACACCTTGTCTTTGTGTTTAGACGTTGTTGTAGTTATGTATGTCTGAGATTACACCTTGTCTTTGTGTTAAGACGTTGTTGTAGTTCTGTATGTATGAGTTTACACCTTGTCTTTGTGTTAAGACGTTGTTGTAGTTATGTATGTCTGAGTTTACACCTAGTCTTTGTGTTTCGTTCTGTATGTCTGTCTAGACATTGACGTTGTTTTTGTTCTGTATGTTCGTTGTATATGTCAGCATTTAGACAGTGTCTGTGTTGTAGTTCTGTATGTCAGCATTTAGACATTGCCTTTGTTTTCATTCTGTATATCAGCATTTAGACATTGCTGTTGTTTCTGTATGTCAGCATTTACACATTGCCGTTGTTTCTATTCTGTATGTCAGCATTTAGACAATGCCGTTGTTTCTATTCTGTATCTCAGCATTAAGACAATAATGTTTTCGTTTAGTATGTTTGCATTTAGATATTGAACTTGTTTTTGTCCTGTATGTCTGCATTTAGACATTGAACTTGTTTTTGTTCTGTTTGTCTGCATTAGGACACTGACGTTGATTTTGTTCTGTATGTCTGCATTGAGCCATTGACGTTAATTTCGTTCTGTATGTCTGCATTGAGATATCGACATTGTTTTCGTTCTGTATGTCTGCATTTGAACATTTAACTTGTTTTCGTTTTTTATGTCTGCATTAAGACACTGACGTTGATTTTGTTCTGTATGTCTGCATAAAGACATTGACTTTAATTTCGTTCTGTATGTCTGCATTACTTGTTGGTGGAGTTGTGACTGAAATAATAGGATGGGAGAAAAATAATCAACCCCTACCTTGAGGGTGTAACAGAGAAATCTCCAACCCTCGGAAGAATAAGATCGATGTTTATTCCGACTGGAATTTGTTTATTTGTATGTATTAATAAAATCATTCACCCCCTTGGGGTTGAGATTAATAGAATCATTCACCCCTTTGTGGGTAAGATAGGAGACGTCAAGAACAATAGCGTGACCCCGAAAGGTCACTATAATTACCGCCGCCAGTCTGCGCATGTAAGCGATCTAGACCCGTGGGTCGGATTAATAGAATACCTCACCAACCTTGGGTAAGATATAGGGGAATCTCAACCCTCGGGGAAATATTCTAAAGTTGCCAAGCACTCGGCAAAGCATCGTGTTTTGCAAATTAAGAAAAGTTCCCCCTCGGGTTGAGATTCCTCTTTCTCCCACACCTGACAGATTTATCTCCCGTTTTGCCGGTGCTAGATTTATCTGTCTCCGCCCTAGGGTTGAGACGGGGATTCCCCTATTCATAACAATGGCATGACGTCACTTCAACAATACAATGACGTCACGTCAACAATCAATCAACAAATTGCCTGTATGTGTTTTGGGTCCATGTTTACCTTTATTTCACATTTAAATACTGTTAGATATGGGAGAAAAATAATCAATCGCTACTGGTTGTGTAAGATGGAGAAAACTCAACCCTCGGACTAAGAATTTTTTGTCCAGATCTCGGCAAGCCTCGTTCTGGACAAAAAATCTAAGTCCTCGGGTTGAGATTTCTCTATCTTACACAACCAGTAGCGTTAGATTCTATTAATCTCACCCAAGGGTGGTGAGATATTCTATTAATCCGACCCACGGGTCTAGATCGCTTACACGCGCAGACTGGCGGCGGTAATTATAGTTACCTTTCGGGGTAACGCTATTGTTCTTGACGTCATTTTATGCCGTTTTCGGGTCAATCAGGGTCATTGACGTCACTAACAATGGACATCCGGGCTTCATATGCAAATTAGAAATGTGCGGACATTTTACAACTTAACTAGAAGAGCAGCTGTTTTTACGGGTTTTAGGTAATAAGCAAGAAATAATATCCATCCCTGATGTGAGGTAAGGGTAAGGTTATTCAAACCCTCGGGATACAATATTAAGCAAAAGACCCTCGGCAAAGCCTCGGGTCTCCTGCACAATATTTTATCCCTGGGGTTTGAACACATCAGGGATGGATTCTATTAATCCATGCTACCAGATGTGGTCTTCCAATGGTCTGCCCCCATCCCATTGTTTGTCATGTACAGATTAATACATATATGCCACTAGGATTGGTCTTGCCAATCTCCTCATCTTTTCCCGGAGATGGTGTCCAGTCCTGTCCATGGAAGCTTATTAGTTCCTGAATCATAACATCGAAAACAGTCAATATGTTCAATATATAACTACATTGTATATAAATATGGGACAGAATGAATTGTCCTCTGAATGCTGATAGGCAGAGCCAACATTGGGAAAAATTTGCAGTATTATACGTACTAAGAATACTTTGCCATGGTTGCTTAAATAAATAGTGTGGTATAACCGTCGTGATATTACTGACGTGGCTCGACATTGTAGCACATCTGATGTATACACTAGTCTGTGGTAAATTTGCAAACGAACTACGGAAACAAAGGACTCGATATATTAAGGATAATAATAGTAATAATAATAAATCGAGGTTCTTATATACCGCTTTATCACTCAACCTAGTTTGTAAGTCGTCTCAAAGCGGTTCACAAATTATTATCCTTGGTTCTCTATCACCTCCCTGGCGAGCATACAGCCGCACCGTGCTACCATTTCGGCGCTCACAGCTAGCATTCAAATTTACAGCTGAGTAGACTGAAACAAAAGGAGTAAAGTATCTTGTTCAAAAATACAACACAGTGCCGTGACGTTACGTGACTCGACCCGCAATCCTTCGGTCACAAGCCCGGCGTCCTACCACTAGACTAACGTGCCTCTGTAGAGTGCGTTATATGACAGTGTTGAAAATGGAACCGAGACAAAACACACGCACAATTTATCTTTATTTGCTTATCTCATTAAATAAAAAAATGTGATCGTGGCACTGAAGATAATGTGTCATATTGCCAGGAAATGTCATTCGTCTTTTTTCCCACCGAAGAGATTGCCAATTTTAAAAAATCGACCAAATATTCCTTTTCCTAATGATAAGATGAAGTTAACTTTGGACTTTTCGTCCGACGATGGGCTCGGGGTTGTCGTGGTCGTGGTCTTCGTTTCCTTTGCTGAAATATACAAGCATGATGTGATGTTAGAACACTTACTGGTGTACATTAGATATCAGTACACTGATTGGTGTACATGAGATATCAGTTCACCAATTGATATACATTATATATCAGTACACTCATTGGTGTATGTTAATTATCAGTACACTTATTGTTGTATATTAAATATCAGTACATTTATTGTTGTAAATTAGATATCAGTATACTTATTGTTGTATATTAGATATCAGTACACTTATTGTTGTAAATTAGATATCAGTACACTTATTATTGTATATTAGATATCAGTACACTTATTGTTGTATATTAGATATCAGTACACTTTTTGCTGTATATTAGATTTCAGTACACTTTTTGCTGTTTATTAAATATCAATACACTTTTTGTTGTATATTAGATATCAGTACACTTATTGTTGTATATAAGATATCAGTACACTTTTTGCTGTTTATTAGATATCAATATACTTATTGTTGTATATTAGATATCAGTACACTTATTGTTGTATATTAGATATCCTTTAACTTATTGTTGTATATTAGATATCCTTACACTTATTGTTGTATATTAGATATCAGTACACTGATTGGTGTACATTGTATATATAAACTGACAAGATAGTTATGTTATTAATCAGTGCAGTAGTTATTACTTACTTGTTTGTGGTTTTGTTATAAAACCTACTAAAACATACAACATCCTGCGGTTTACGGTTGTTAAATGAACTAAGTTACAATGGAGTTTTAAAATGTTGGTTCGATAAAACATTACTTATCTATTTTTTCTCTCTCGACACCACGAGGTAGCGGAAGCGAGAGTAAGGTGCTGACATTAAGTTTTTGCGTTAAAGTTAGTTTCACTGAAAGTATTAGTGCGAGACCAACCAAACTTGAACCATAGATGCATCTTAGGTAGTACATCTGTACCTATGCATCAAATGCTGGATGTTGCGGCATACTTCTCATGGTCTATTGACTTTGTCAGAATCTCCATCAACATTAAGTTTTTGCGTTCAAGTCTGTTTCTCTGAAACTATAACTGCTAGACCAACCAAACTTAACATGTGCATTGATGGTCAAAACGGGGCACAGGCGAGACATATCCATCCGAATGGCTTGTTTATGCTCGGAACGAAATAATAATTATTAAACGCATATTTTGAACATTAATGGGAGTATATGCCACCAACCCAGTTGCATACAACCCTGCCATTAATGCATGCCATTTAATCAATATGTAGGCAACATGTATATTTACCATGGTATAGTATTGCCACTAAATAACTACTATATTTAGATGGCATTCATATAGGACACGAATGCCATGAAACAATATTATACTCATAATTGTTACGTTCATGCTAAATAATAATTGCAGTTAAATTTTCCGCGAGATGAACATATTCCAAAAATGGTAAATATAAGTACTGAACTGCTTTCAGTGGGCAGTCATAAGCAATATGAATGCCATCTGAAAGCAGCTCAGTGCTAAAGAACATGCATATCCGTTGCACCGCCTTTAAATAAACCGTGTTATGAGACCATGAATATTGTCCTTTTGAAAACTGTTGGGATCTTTCCGTCAATCCGATATAGTATAGTCGGGGACCAATTATGTCGTGGCATCAACTTCTGCATCAAACTCCAGAATAGTTTCCGATCACGTGACGTTTATCTCTTGTGGAAATTGCGACTATAGAATACATTTGGTAGAACAGTGTGTTTTTCTTGATATCTTGATGCCGAGAAACCACACAGAAAGGTATAATGAAATTTTCTTTATTGTTTTCAACGTAAATGTAAGAATTGAAATTCATCTTTTTAATATTTATGATGGCATAAAGCGCATTTTTGTTCGAACAAGCAACTGTGCCGCGCATCGGGGAATAAGACCGTAAGGGCTTTTCATTATAAATGATGAAAAAATGTGTGTCAATCCTTAAATGCCCATACGAACACTTTTCACTTTTTATCACAAATATTGAAATAAATTTACTTAACTTGTATTTCTTTCCGTAAATTTCATATGTGTACCTTACTGTGACAAACTGATACCTTCACCAAGATCGGGCTAGTCGCTGTCTCCTTTACGTGTCTATACTTACATTTGCCAAACCAAGAGAATCCGGATGTGACATGCGCCATAAGTACCATCAGTACCAGACCATACGCGATGAATCTCACAGGTTTCATGTTCAGCCTCTTGTTTCTATTAAAGTGCAATATAAGAATCCGTAGATGTTTTGAACGGCTCGTTTACATACACGTCGAAGTGAGCGGGTGGTTGTTGTAAGTATAAGTCATCAGTATGGGGATGGGGTTTATGTATCCGTCAGGCCGTCTTTTACTTGCTATCCATCATTTTGTGGTTACATATGTTAAATTTCAAAGCATGTGACGCGGGTTGTGAGTGTTGACTAATACTTCACGTGAGGCTCATACACATGTAGGACACGGATACCCTGTTGTTGTAAACATACAAATATAGGACACGGTTACCTTGTTGTTGTGAACGTACAAATGTAGGACACAGGTACCTCGCCATTGTAAACATACAAATGTAGGACACGGGTACCTTGTCGTTGTGAACATACAAATGTAGGACACAGGTACCTCGCCATTGTAAACATACAAATGAAGGACACAGGTACCTCGCCATTGTAACCATACAAATGTAGGACACAGGTACCTTCTCGTTGCAATCGTACACATGTAGGACACGGATACCTTGTTGTTGTAAACATATAAATGTAGGACACAGGTACCTTCTCGTTGCAAACGTACACATGTAGGACACGGATACCTTGTCGTTGCACATGTACAAATGTAGGACACAGGTACCTCGTCATTGTAAACATACAAATGTAGGACACAGGTACCTTCTCGTTGCAAACGTACACATGTAGGACACGGATACCTTGTCGTTGTGAACATACAAACGTAGGACACAGATACCTTGTTGTTGTAAACATACAGGACACGGGTACCTTGTTGTTGTGAACATACAAACGTAGGACACAGATACCTTGTTCTTGTAAACATACAGGACACAGATACCTTGTTGTTGTAAACATACAAATGTAGGACACGGGTACCTTGTTGTTGTAAACATACAAATGTAGGACACGGGTACCTTCTCGTTGCAAACGTACACATGTAGGACACGGATACCTTGTATTTGCACATGTACAAATGTAGGACACAGATACCTTGTTGTTGTAAACATACAAATGTAGGACACGGATACCTTGTTGTTGTAAACATATAAATGTAGGACACGGGTACCTTGTTGTTGTAAACATACAAATGTAGGACACGGGTACCTTGTTGTTGTAAACATATAAATGTAGAACACGGGTACCTTGTCGTTGTAAACATACAAATGTAGGACACGGGTACCTTGTCGTTGTAAACATATATATATTTGTGCTGCAATCTTCCTGCATTTAAAACAAATGAGACTGTCATCGCCGATGAATTTTCTCGCATGTTCGGTAATATCAATAGGTACATGTATGCTATTAAAATATCAATAAAATGTTCCATTGAGTGGAAAGAAAGATATTTATCACTTAATTAAAGAAAATGATCACATGCCTAAATATTTTATTTTTTTAAAGTGAATCTGAACGTGGATTCGAACATACATCGTTCATTTCTCCTGGTCACAAGCAAAGTGCGTCACACATTAGGCTAGATCGGACACAGACGAATATGGAAATACAAACTGTTTTAACCAAAGAAACATCTGTCACAGTTTTGATTAACCCTCTTTTTCATTATTTTGAGCACTTACCTAAAGGAGGACCACTTTTCCGTCACTCGATTTGTGTTTGCATATTATATCAAGGAATCAAAAAGTTTAATCAAAAGTTGGTCCTCGGGTGGGAAAGTATTGAAATTATTCTTTCATAGACATAGTGAATATGGCTATATTCAGTATTATATTAACAATACCGAATATCTCAACAGTTCAAAAATTCATATTCAATTGGTTTTATATCTATTCCATGCATTTTCGCTACTAAAACTTAATTACTCATCAATATTTGTTTGTTCTGTTTTCAAAAATGCCGACTTTGGGAAATACGGGCAGTTTTCTGCCATAGCTCTTTGAGGTCTTATAATGTAAAACTAATTTTCATGATGTGATACTTACCATAACTTAAGTATGCATATTCAAAACATACACCCATCTTTGTAGTCAAAATCAACCCACACACATATATATATACTACTCACATTTTGCTAAGGATCACCTATATTTTGAAAAACCAAATCAAAATATTAGAAAGGATATGATATTTTCTTTCCTTACTGTTTTGGTCGAATATGTTAGCTTTCCAAATCGTCCTGTGTGGGTGTGTTCAGTCAATCATAAAAGTGCGTGCACGCTTTTCCACGTGTACACCACTGTTGTAAGCTAAGCTAGGCTAAGTAAGGCGTTGTTCAAATTGTTCAGGAACACAAAGACGAACCAGACAACGGTTAAATGACGGTGAAATGAATAGGGGCATCGTAATGCTGCAAGCTAGCATGTCTCAACGTCAGGTTGCAGCAGACCTTTGGGTGTCTGAAAGTGTGGTGGCAAGAAATGTGTAATCGTTTCCAAACTAACGGAAACCCTTCCAGACGTCATGCTGGAGGTCGTTCTAGGGCTACAACGCAGCGCCAAGACCGATTTTTGCTCATACAGGCACATCCTTGATTTCCAGGGGTTACGATCACCTACGCTCTCTACGCTCTCGTAACCCCTGGAAATCGAGGATGATACAGGCACGGCGTCACAGGTTCCAGACTGCCACAGCTTTACGAAATGACCTCCTAAATACTTCTGATACCCAGGTAGCCACGCACACAGTTGGGGACCGTTTTCATGATGGTGGTTTAAGGTCACAAAGACCAGCAATACGAGTTCCCTTAACTGCCCGCCATGTTAGGGACCGATTAGATTGGACCCAAGCTCTCAGCACTGAGACTCTTCAGGAATGGGAACCGGTTTTTTAACTGACGAGTCCAGATTCTGTCTCGACTTCAGCGACAGGCGCGTTAGAGTATGGAGACAACCTGGTGAGAGGTTCCAGGCAGGTAACGTTATTGAACATGGCCGATATGGCGGAGGTTAAGTGATGGTGTGGGGAGGCATAAACCTTCGTGGGAAAACTGAACTCCGTGTCTTCCATAATGGTACCGTTACGGCCCGAATTTACTGCAATTCATCCTTAAGCAAGGCATATGGGTGACTGAGCAGTATCTACAGCAAGACACTATTCAACGAATGGATTGTCCAGCCCGCTCGCCGGATCTAAATCCCATCGAGCATGTGTAGGACATGATGCAGACAGCTCTCTCTCTCTACCAGAAATGTTCAGCCAAGAACGCTCCAGGAGCTGGGAACAGCTTTGGTAGCTGAGTGGAACACTATCCCACAAAACCGGATACGCGATCTCATTCGGTGCATGCGCAGACGTTGTGAAGCTGTGATTGATTCGTTTCTCGTGAAACGCATGGCGATCGTGCAGATACGCCTGGACCTAGATCATCACTTTCCTCGAACCGAGGAAACAACGTGATTAGGCCTCTCCCACTCGGGGCGCCTACTGGTCCGTTATCACATAAAACTATTCCTTTGTCCGCCATGACCCTTCCGGGTCAGTAGTCACANGCATGTGTACTCTCAGTAACGGGGCAGCTTATATAGTGGAATTGATACTTATGGTGTCACACTCGATACTAAAACAGTTTCTGTTTATTTAAGATGAGTTTTGTTCAATTTAATTGTTTTAGTGATTACCTCGTTGTTACCAATTTTAAGGGATACCCTTTTCCTGTGGCTCATTTTCCGACTGTATTTACGATTTTGGAATTTTTGCATTCTGATGAACAATTATTTTTTCATAAATAATCTCAGTATAAACCAAATAAAATATTTATTGTCACATCTGACATTTTATCCACCTTTACTCACAGCTATAATAGGAAACGTGAACATTAAAAGTTATATAAACAGAACCTTAATACTTATACAGGTCATAAGGTCAAGCTCAGGGCTGTTTGCATCCAATAGAGGCACAGTAGTCTAGTGGTATGACGCCGGACTCGTGACCGAAGGGTTGCGGGTTTGAGTCACGACACTGTGTTGTATCTTTGACCAAGATACTTTACTCCGCTTGATCCAGTCTACTCAGCTGTAAATGATTACGTGGTTGGGCAGTGCTAGAATTGTTGAATGCTAACTGTTAGCGCCGAAATGGCAGCTCTGCAGCTGTATGCTCCCCAGAAAGTTGAGAAAGGTATTGACCGCTTTGAGACGACCTACGAACTTGTTTTTGATTATTATTATTATTAATATTAATAGCTCCTCCCTTTGTATATGTACACAGGCTAGGATTGTCCTTTCCTTTTACAATAAGATCAACCTATTCCGTCTTTGCGTATTGCAGAGTTATCTTCTCTTGGGAGCAGGTATTGATTGTTACGTCATTGGTTTGTGTGAGAAAATTGCGTCGTTTTCTCAAAAATTGATGACTTTACTCTCACAAACAAGTGACGTAACAATCAATACCTGCTCCCAAGAGAAGATAACTCTGCAATACGCAAAGACGGAATATAGCTACCTATCTTTTTGCACTGATCTATCTAATTAGCATACTAGAAGATTCAGTGCAGACAAAGATCTATTTTTCGTGATGTCACAAAAGTAAAGCTCAGAATTTCACCTCTGTATATGACGCCTCATATTTTAGAGCTCAAACCTCAAATCAGTAGGTATATGTGGTGAAGGTTATAACTATCAGATGCAAATTAGTTGCTCAAAAGTGGAAAACCGAAAAATATATATTAAAAATTCCTTTTCCCTTTGTATGTTGTTCTACAAAATTAACAATCCGTTTAGTGATAGAGATAAGAAAGTATGTCACAGCCACGTGGTGTTTAAGAACTAAATGAAATGTTTTTAAGACCTCCATTGATATTGTGCATAATCATAAAATGCAGAGACATATAAAGCCAGTAGTATATATACGTCTCTGATGTAATGTGTCCATTATGGGAATCTTTAGGCAAAATTATAATTTGCAGTTGTGGAAAAATGGTGGAAAAACACTCTGTCCGCATATATTGCATCAGACGAAGCGTAAAATTTTCCGAAGTTAATTGCATCAGAACACGGAACTTTTATCCGATCCTCCGTTCTGCATATTATATACCACCTTAAGCGTCTGCATGACATTGAAGCTACCACACGTGCGAAGTAGCGAGAAATAGAAACGTCAGGTAGTTTTAGCGGTTATCATCTAGTTTACGTACGTGTGTAAGTATTACGCTAAATTGTTAATGACATTGCTTCAGTTTAATGGCATCAGTATACAACGAAATGTTTACCAAGCCAGAGCGGAAGCAGTGTTCCGATCTGACCTTCAGCTACTCGCCAATAACGCAAGGCATCTTGTTCAAGTATTTTCACCATATAAGCTTACCCTTCAGTTCTGGTCTGTCACCTTCTGTGGTTGAATGCCGATATTTTAAAAGCTTTGATTTCAAAATGCACTTTTTTAATTGTTCATGATGTATATGTACTCCATGTAATCCACATGTACTCGTGACAAAGTACGTGGTCTAGATAAGGTGACTAATTATATAAGGATGTCAAGCTGACAATGCGGACATAGTAAAATGGGCGCTTTGATGGAAATGTGTTCAACATATCGACTTTTCCAAAATTGTTACAGGATAACAAAAATACCAACAAAATACCGTTAAAGATACAGTGTTGCATCATTCATAAAAAAAACCCTGTCCTGTTAAAAATTCAACCACCTGCATTATTACATGGGAGATCCTCACTCAATCTGTAGTGTAATTGTTTAAAACATCTGAAAGTTTTAGTTTGTGGTATGTGTTTTGTACAATTAAATGTATGTATATTGCACAGACATCTGCATTGTGTATGTAAATATGTTAAAATATTAAATAGTCTTCCCTAACTTGTAACCCTACTATATTGACACTTTGGTGGTGGTGGTGGTGGTGGGGCATTTTAATTTCAATTAAATCCAACAGATTGATTTTATGTCTGCACGTTAAGAAAGTAATATAACCCTGGATTAAGTATCCATAATAAGTATCAATGCATGATGTTGTCATTTTGTCACAATAATTCCCACAAAGATGAATGCTCTTAACAAAATAGGAATTAGAAATTTAGAATGATATTGAAATGATTGATATATTATATACAAAATGTATAAGGAACATGTATGAGCAACTTTTACAAACAGCACCAATCCTGAAGGGTCTTGCATATTTGGAATCAACTCTCTACAATTGTGGTAGATTCACAAACCTTAAATGTTTTTGAACCTAGACTCAATAAGCAATGGGTCAAACATCCAATCAAGTTTTTACCATTGTGCTACCAATATATAATTATTAAGTTGTATACGGGTCCTCTGCGCAACCTGTAAATAAGTGAATGGCTATATATATATGAAGCAGCGTCAACAGAAGCAATGAATTATGCTTACAGAGGAGTCGACCACCATGAACCATATTTTTGTTATCTTAATTAAATAGTAGGCATTCCATGATTCATTTACATAGCAATCATACAGCAATCATACTGGCTTCTTGCATCATGTTAGGACTTCAACTTTTCCATTCTTATTGTTAAAGGGGTTTTCCGCTTGCATGTCAAGGTCAACAGATTTTTTTTCCATGAATTGTTCACATTGTTTATAAGGACGGGCATAGCATTAAGAATTTCATGCCTCGACTGAAGAGATGTGAAACAGTGTGAGTATAGACACATACTATGTATCATATATTTATGATACATTACTTTTGAGTCTGTTATATTAGCTGTAAGACTAAGCAGTGTTACAATGGACAAATCATAGGTCTATGTAATACAGAATTCAGATAGACCTCATGAAATTTTCATAGGTCCAATCTTGACCAAGAAAATTTTACTTACTTTTATTTAAAGTAGCCCTTTTTCCCTCACTACTATACTTAAATAATACATATCACAGGAAATACCTTTATAGACAACTTAGTCTATGGAGTTCCTGATTCCTATAGACCCCATAGTAGACGGGTTTTTTTTTTATGGTGATTGTTTATGTGTCTAAGGTCAGACACTACTATCAGTCTTGAAGGTATGGGGTGTATATATGCTTACCTGAAATATAGTTTAAATTAAACTATATAATTATTGCACCTTCATAACTTTTATTTACTGTAATATTAAATCATTTTCAGGAGCATTTTTATGATTTATTTTGACAGTGAATGTTAACTAGATAACCTGATCCTTTAAAACTTTTTAAGTTAGTGTGGATCTCACAAATACTTCTTTTTTCATAAAAAGGTAGTTGATTTGTAAAGTTTTTTTAATCTTTACATATGTTGGCCACACCCAAACATCATTGTGTTGACTATTCAAAATATATATTTGCATTACATGTACTGACTGTATTGCTTTGCTTAAATTTGCATACTTGTTTACTGTCATGTATTTTCACTTATATATGTAAACAACTAAAGCCAACAATACAAGCCATCAATATTTAATGGTAAACTACTAAAACCAACAATATTTAAGTTACAATTAAGTGTACATTTTCAGAATTAAAAGCATAAATAAAATGTGTGTTTGTACATCCTAGGGAAAAATAACACTTTTAAAGGGCATCTTTTGAGCTGTTCTTTCAGATGAAATCGCTAGTTCTTAGAATATAGGAATAGTTTAGCATATTCACTGGTTGAAAATGCTCAATTTTCGGGTCCAAAATCGGTAATCTCCCTCCAAAATGGGGAGAGTTGGCAAGTATGATTCAACTGAACGGTAAGGCCTTTAGACCTCTTGAAGGCCTTCCTGTATTCCTGGTAGCTGGAAATTCATCTTCAAATTGAGTTGCTATTTCCTGACTTCAAACTTTTCATGTTGATATGAATATGAACCATGTAGCATTTTACTATCTTGTACACACACAATATCCGCCACTAAGGATCCTCAGTGTGTAAAATGTTTGCCTAATTTAAACGGTTAATAGTCAAGGAAATGCTTTGTGACACACACAGTTTGTCACTGATTATTCAGTGTTTATTTATAATATGTAATTTGTGTATATATTTTTAACAGTTGAGTGTCCACTTAAAGCATTGCTCAAAATTTAATTGATTATATGGTACTGAATTGTGTGCCTCATACTCATTGCAATATAACAATATGACATTACCATCTGATGATCACATGTATGCATTGATATGTTATTCATTCCTGGTTTCCACTGCGTACCAACCCATTACCCACTTCCCTATTCCATATTGGTTCTGTTGTCCACATAACTCCATTTCCATAGCTAGTGTTGAAATAATTGATTGTGAAGTAGGTAACAAATGTACATATATAAGTGTCATGACATTTGTTTTTGTTTCCTTTTCCATTTCATATAATTTAATGTATAGTTTGTATTTCAATGTATTGGCAAAATATATGAATAAAACAAAGTTTCAACAAAATTATTTAGAAATAACATGACTTCAACAGATACCCCCTTGTACTAGGATACATAACATAGTATTATCAAGGACATAACTTAAAATAAATTCAAATTGCGGTTTATAAGGTGATGTATTTCTGTAATCATTTTCAATATGTCTCATCATTTATAAAAGTGGTCTTTCAAAATGAAAATATAATTTGTTGAAGGCATTGATTATATTTCTTCATAAGGAATGTACTGTAGTTAGTATAATTACTAGTATTTAATCTGCCTATGGCAGAAGTTGTTTAAGATTCAAGTGATAACTTTGAATGATCATATGAATAAGAATTTAGTCTAGAATAAACTTGATTCCTGTGGAAATAGCAGAATTCAATCTGTTTGAAATCATCTGTTAGATGTCATTGCTCCGTTAACTACGTAGTATGAAGTTAACGTAAACATGAACTTAATAAGATTGTAACTAAATTTAACATGTGATGAAGTATACTTATTATGAAGTTCAAAACTGAAAGTGTTCTAAAACTTCAGATTGTTAACAAGTACAATGTAAAGCTGACAATGCTTTCTACCCTCAGACAGTTTAAACGGTGCAATTGACAATGCAATTTAGGAACAATCAGCTAGTTTTTCCCAGAAACTTCTTTCTACACTTTTAATGAACTTCTGAGTAAATAAGAAGTCAGTCATTTACATGGACTAGTTAGTCTGCAAGCAGCAAAAGTCGTATACCCCAATATCCCCATGTGAATCCTGTATCTGTCGGTGCGTAAGTGTGAATCCTAAGGCCTGTATCTGTTGGTGCGTAAGTGTGACTCCTGTAGCTGTCGGTGCGTAAGTGTGACTCTTGTATCTGTCGGCGCGTAAGGGGGACTCCTGTCTCTGTCGGTGCGTAAGGGTGACTCCTGTATCTGTCGGTGCGCAAGTGTGACTCCTGTATCTGACGGTGCGTAAGTGTGACTCCTGTATATGTCGGTGCGTAAGTGTGACTCCGGTATCGGTCGGTGCGTAAGTGTGACTCTTGTATCTGTCGGTGCGTAAGTGTGAGTCCTGTATCTGTCGGTGCGTAAGTGAGACTCCTGTATCTGTCGGTGCGCAAGTGTGACTCCTGTATCTGACGGTGCGTAAGTGTGACTCCTGTATGTGTCGGTGCGTAAGTGTGACTCCGGTATCGGTCGGTGCGTAAGTGTGACTCTTGTATCTGTCGGCGCGTAAGGGGGACTCCTGTCTCTGTCGGTGCGTAAGGGTGACTCCTGTATCTGTCGGTGCGGAAGTGTGACTCCTGTATCTGTCGGAGCGTAAGTGTGACTCCTGTATCTTTCGGTGCGTAAGTGTGTCTCCTGTATCTGTCGGTGCGTAAGGGTGACTCCTGTATCTGTCGGTGCATAATTGTGACTCCTGTATCTGTCGGTGCGGAAGTGTGACTCCTGTATCTGTCTGTGCGTAAGTGTGACTCCTGTATATGTCGGTGCGTAAGTGTGACTCCTGTATATGTCGGTGCGTAAGTGTGACTCCTGTAGCTGTCGGTGCGTAAGTGTGACTCTTGTATCTGTCGGCGCGTAAGGGGGACTCCTGTCTCTGTCGGTGCGTAAGGGTGACTCCTGTATCTGTCGGTGCGGAAGTGTGACTCCTGTATCTGTCTGTGCCTAAGTGTGACTCCTGTATCTGTCGGGGCGTAAGTGTGACTCCTGTATCTGTCGGTGCGTAAGTGTGACTCCTGTATCTGTCGGTGCGTAAGTGTCTGCCAACAGGTGAGCCGCTCCTGTACTGGTCACTGCCTACCTAGGTACTTTTATTTTAATCATTACATAATGGTACAAGACAGAAGTTGAATACTGTATACCAGGGAATTTTTGCTGCAGTTTAATTTTTCCCTTTTCCCCTTTTCACAATGAGAGCGAATTTATCATGAGAGCTAAAATTTATACAAGTGCACAGCATACCATTTATTAGAATGGTAGTAATAACATGTGGATAGAAAAATTAACACTGGCAAATATGGATTTGATCTGTAAAGGGTGTCTTTTTGACTCGGCGAAAGTTTCAGGGTATACAGTGTATGAAATTTGTGATAACTGCTGGCGCAATCCCCACACGTCATGATCATTATAAGGAGAACACTGATGCTTGCAATAACATATAACATTAAACCAGAGTGTCCTGTCTCTTCACTCATAAAACTTGTTTCCAACCAAGATCAGATTTACTTCAGCAATTCAAGTCTTGACAGAGTTTAACAGAATAGTGACTCTCAATTAACGACCCGGTTATTTATGATATTTTAATTGAGCATGCCAATGATTTTTATTTGCTGTCAGATATACCTAGTACATGGGAAGTCTACCATGTGGTGTACTCCCTAGCTATTTACATGAATAACTGGTATACTTACATCTACACCACATACATGCTAGTGTTAATATGTAGTTATGAAGACACTGTATACTATACAGGTAAGAGTCTTATATATACCATATTGTGCACTTATGTCATGTTTTACTATTAATCTTATCATAAGGTCCATAAAGGTGTATGAACTGATCATGTATATATATCCATATAGGTGCTTACTGCTAATGATAAATTTTGTTGGTTGAAGGATGAGTTTAGTATATGTATTGTAGCGAGCGGAACTAGACTGTTGATCGTCAGCAACCATGTAGCTCAATTGTAGAGCATCTGTCTAGAGTCGGGAGGTTCCCGGGTTCGAACCCTGGTCTGGCTGTGCATTCTTTCTGCTCATGTTACAGTATCACTATCATGAACTGCAAAAGCCTTCTTTTTTATGCGTAAAGGCC